TCCAAATTTGTATTTAGGAATTTATTTTTTTTGCTGCTATGCTGATGAAAATCAAAGTGTGGAGCTAGGGGTGTTTTAAGGTTGTTTTGTTTCCAATATCCAATGCTAATGTATCAAGAGCTGGCCCATTTCCAGTCCTCCTGATGAAAATCTGGCCAGTTGACGCTGATGGCTCTGGAGGAGAAAGTGAGGCTGATGACTCTGCAGAGCCCTCCCTCACTCAAATCAAAGTCATGTCATCATCTCTCTGATGTCATGGTCCTCTTCAAGAATGAAGGATAAATACACCATCTGTAAATGTTGCAATTACAAAGCAGAGATCTTTTTTGGTTTCATCATACATTTGCTCCTTGGGTTGGATGCTGGAAGATGAGGCACGTTCTGGTGGATGTAGGTGTACTACCTAGATGTCACCAAGGACAAAAAATTTATGATCTCCCCCTTGGTATACTATATTATTAACTGGAAATCCACTGGGCACCACAAAATATATGCAATTCCATGAGAGATGGAGTCTTCACAAACAGATCCTTCCTTATGACTTGTCTGTAAAATTTTCTGATAATGCTACAAATTTCATATGGCTTTTAGCAAAGCATTAAAGCTGTGATATATTCTCATCAGCTCATGTTCCCTTCCTATCCTTTTGGCTGTAAAGTGAGATCAGTTTGAAAGGTTCAAAATCAATACTTTCGTTTTCTTTCCTTATTCTATCAAACTTGTTCCACAGTAAACAACCAGACCATTTGACAGAGTTGGAGTCTTTGCTGTATAGATACTATGATTCCCAGAACTGAAAAATGGTTTACAAAAGATTTTGTGTTGGACAAAGTTCCAAACCCATCAGCTAACATTTCTGCCACTCCAGATATCTGGTCTTTGGGAAGAATGACCAATGATACCATGCAGATGCCACTGCCACTGGGTGCTTCCAGGCTCTTGATGAACTTTTTGCTCTTCTTGCTGATGTTCCTGTCAGCAGTGCTGCAACCTTCACACATTTTCTTGGCTCCTCCTTCCTAGTGACCGAATCTCAAGTGGCAGCAGAGAATTCCCTGACTTGCGGAAGCAAGTTAGGTCATGGGCTGCCTGTCTGGGTAGCTCTGATATGTAATCTTTTAAAAAAAAATTTATTTTCCCCCAGTTACACGTAAAAACAATTTTTAACAGTCGTTTATAAAACTTTTGAGTTCCAAATTCTCTCCCTTGTTCTTTCTCCACCCTCTTCTCATTGAGAAGGCAAGCAGTTCAATACAGCTTACACAGGTGTAGTTATGCAAAACATATCCATAATAGTCATGGTATGAAAGAAAACAGACCAAAAAACCCCCCTCAAGAACAACAAAGAAAGATTAAAAAAATATGCTTCAATCTGTATTCAGACACCATCAGTTCTTTCTCTGGGGATGGAGAGCATTTTTCATCATTAGTCCTTCAGAGTTGTCTTGGATTGTTGTATTGCTGGGAATAGCGAAGTCATTCATAGCTGATCGTCTTACGGTATTGCTGTTACTTTGTACTCAGTATATTTCACTTTGCATCAGCCCATACAAGTCTTTCCAGGTTTTTCTGAGAGCATCCTGCTCATCACTTCTTACAGTATAATAGTATTCCATCATAATCACATACCACAAGTTGTTCAGCCATTCTCCAATTGATGGGCATTCCCTCAATTTCCAATTCTTTGCCCCCAGAAATGAGCTGCTATAAATATTTTTGTGCATATAGGGTTTTTTCCTTTGTTTTTTAATCTCTTTTATGACACAGACCTAGTAGTGGTATTGCTAAGTCAAAGTGTATGCATGGTTTTATAGCCCTTTGGGCACAGTTCCAAACTGCTCTACAGAATGGCTGAATTAGTTCACGACTCCACCAACAGTGTATTAGTATCTCATTTTCCCCACATCCTCTCCAACATTTGTCATTCACCTTTTCTGTCCCATTAGCCAATCTAATAGATATGAGGTTCTGATATGTAATCTTTGAGAGCTGCTTAAGGAGCAGGTAGATGGTACAGTGGATAAAGCACTGGCCCTGAAGTCAGGAGGACCTAGGTTCAAATCTGGCACCAGATCAAACACCTGACACTAGCTGTGTGACCCTGGGAAAGTCACTTAACCCCAATTGCCTTAAAAAAAAAAGTTGCCTAGAGACTAAGAAGTTGAGTGACTTGCCCAGGGTCATGCAGTCAGTCTCTGTCAGAAAAAAGACTTGGGACACCCTCTCGTCTCTATTCCAGGGTCAGTTCTCTCCTCATTATGCCTCTTCATTTACACTAAATATCATCTAGAACCCTGAAGTGTAAAATTCACTTAAGTTTATTCATTCTTACAGATATTGTTTCTACATAATCTTAACATATAATGTACACGTGTGTACCCCTCTACTTCTACCTAGAGAGCCATACTTTGTTTATTTTTGTGAAGGGATCAGACCTCTGATCTCATACATATTTGAAGTTGTGAGTGAGGAACTTCTGATGCAAATCACCCTCTTCTCTACAGCCTACAATTTTAGAGTTCCCTTGGGTGCACTGAAAAAATTAAGTGACTTGGGTAGGACTTGAACACAGGTCTTCCTGACTCCAAGTCTAGCTCTATCTCCCCTGTATCATTTTTTAACAAAGAATTTTTTTTAAAAGAAAAAAAGGGAAAAAAGCAACTCTGCAAAACTAACCAATATTTCAAATAAGCCTGAAGGTGTATGTAATGTTTCATACCCATACTCTCCTACCACGTCAACACAGGAAGGGAGGTACATTTTCTCATCTCTTCTTCAGAGACAGCTTAATTAACTCCTCAGAAGTGAACTGAATTAGGGGCAGCTAGGTGGTGCAGAGGACAGAACTATGGGCTTGGAGTCAGGAGGACCTGAGTTCAAATCCGGCCTCAGACCCTTGACACCGTGTGACCCTGGATAAGTCACTTAACCTCGATTACCTCACCAAAAAGATAAAAAAAAAACTGAACTATTACTTGTTTCTCAAAGACAGGATAAAAACCAATAAAATAAAATTTAACAAGGCCCTGTGACATCTGAAAATAAGTCTTATTATATATCAAACTGGAAATGTAATTCAGAGAAGTCATCTTTTAACTACACACCCACCCACAAAAAAACAAACCGGGAAAATGCTACAACATAAGCCATTTGGCAAGACTAACATTTTTAATTAACTATTATTTTCAGAAGCACCAAGGACACTAATCAAAAGAAATTTCAGAAAGAGGATTTGGGTTTGGAATCCAAGCCATTCATCAATTCTCCCTTTAAAATATACCTCAAAACTTCTTTACCCGTTCTAGTCTGACCCCATTTCTTTACTAAGATAAACTTTCTTATTTATATGCTCAGTCCCAACCCCCTCCCATATCCTCCAGGAGCTCCGCAGAGCATTTCCTTAGCATCTTTCCACTTCAATCTTAGCAGTTACTGGCTCTTTCCTCAGAATACAAAAACCCTTAGGCTGACAGTGGCACAGCCATGATATGGAGGATCAGAGGCAACCCAGCTGGACTCTCTCAATATTATCCTCCAAACAAGTTTAAAATAATGCCTCAAATCAAATTTTGGAGTAGCAAAGCCAACAAAGGTCAGGATCAGACATTTTTCCAGCCTAAGAAAACTTAAGAGGTCAGCAGCAGTGGAAATCTGCCTGGGGCCTACACACATGGCAGCAGCAACAGTGGCAGCTTCAGGAGTTCTCAGCCCAGAGACTAGGTAAGGGGGTTGGACAACTGGTCAGAGATTACAGAGAACCCTTGGCTGGCACTGATTGGCAATTCTATTGTCCACATGCAGTTCTGGATCACATTTCCAGGGCAAAGAGGAGCTTTTATGTCACACAGTCACAAGGAAGCAGGGGTCCTGGTCACAGTTCCAAGGTAGATAGGAGCACTACCCCAAAACACTAAGCAGGCCAATGAGACTTTTAAAAATGCAGTGACCTCTATCATTCCTTTGCTCATTGAACCATTGTGGTTCAGCAGCATAGAGCTAGGATTATTACAATAGGAATAGGATACAAAAGTTAGATCTCTTCACTTTTATTCATTACCATTCTTCCCTTGAACATGGTCTAACAACTTGAAGACAGTAATGCTAAATAGTTTACATTTTTTAAGAGAGTCTTAATCTTAGATCCTTCAGTATATACATGTGAATAAAACATCTGACTTAAACTTATAATATCAGATTTAGAGCAGGAAGGGGCTTAGCAGCTGTCTACTCTGATTCTCTCACTTTACGAATGAGGAAACTAAGGCCTGAAGAGGGTAAGAAACTTATACAAAGTCACATAGGTAGTACAACAGATCCAAGGTCTGCACCAAGGTCCTCAGATTCTAAATCCAAAAACCCTTTCCACTGTCCAATGGTGCCTCTTCCCTTTTAATTCGTTAGATTTTTATTGCCTTTCTCAGTAAAAGTGGCCTATAAACATTATTCAAATTTCTAGTAGATTTCAATATTTTCTAAATTATAGGTTTACGGTAATTAAAAGCTTCAGCTTCAAGCATGGCAGATACTTTTTACACAGTCATCTCCATTTGAAAACTTCTTCATGTAGGGTAATAATGAAGTTGTAATACAGTCCTATGTCAATAATGCACCATGATGAGTTGATGACTTTTGGTACTAGAAGGATAGGTCTTCTGCTGAGTTGTACCAATTTTATGAGCTTCAAACATGGGCTCAGCTAAGTGTGCCTCAGAAGACTTTGCTTAACTAAGCAAAGTGAGGTTCATCATAGAAAGCTGGCTACCAAATGATTAACTTTTTGGCCTTTGCAACTCTTAAAAGTTTGAAATTTTAATAGATTTAAGAAATTTCTCACACAGACATTTCATGCTATCAAAGCACCTTGGAGAGAAAACAGTTGTGTTGCACTAACTATGAAAAGAATAAATATTAAAGAATTTAAGAAATAGAATGGGAAAAGAATGATGGTTAAAAAGCATAATTTTTTCCCCCAATAATGTTCACATGATAAACAGCCTTACCTTCTGTAGACTTGTTGGATTCAACTGAGTCTTATCAATTATTTTTATTGCAACCTAGTGGGGAAAAAAGAAAAATTATGAAGTTTAAGAATTTGTGCTTTAAAAGCATAGACTAACTAGCATGGTTAAAAATTCTAAAAATGCTTATTCCCCAAAAGGAACAAGCAAAAATTCAAGGAACTATAAAACACCAAACTTTGCTAACAATGATTCTCATTTGTGACAGTGCTGTTTTTAATCAAAACAAAAACATGCTTCTGTGGAAATTAATGTTTACAATAGTTTTAACAAAAAATATTCATTTATATTTCATACAATAATAACAGGTATATTTATAGGACAAATATCTTAAACACCACATACTAATATCAGAAAAGAGACATGAAACTATGTCACCCTAACTCTAAGACTCATTTTCATTATGCTACTATAAATCTCTTCCATATACATATTAAATAGGGAAAACTTTCATTCACAAATTCCAATTAAGAATTCTGCTGAGTTGGGCCTCTTGCCAAACTTTCACTAATGTTTTTTTCCTCTCCATTGAATTCAGCTATTTTACGAAAGGATACTGTACCTAATATTTCACCATGCTCCTTCAAGAGTTTACAAATTAGTTTATATTCTACAACAGTGTGCCCCTGGCTGCTACAGCTTTCTTCTTGGCAATTAAATAAAATATTCACTGATTTAATCTTAACACTCTTTCAGTATCCTCATTATGGTAATTTATTTATATTAGTTGAACTTGAATATGGAATTATTATAATCTGGATCTTTTCCTTCATCTAATTTCCCACCTTTCAGCATCAGTAAACCATGTACACAGGTATAGAGCTATTAAAATTGAAAATCTTATCTTTCTCTAATTTCCATTCTTTGTTTTAGTTTTGAATTGATTTTAGTTCTTGTCCTAACAAGTTTTTGATCTGACAATACACAGACAGATGATTCAAGAATGACTCACACATCCGTAAAGAATCACTTTCACACCTATTAAAATATAATCAATTTAACTTTTTGTGAGGTTATTCAGTGTTCCCATGTCTAGCACCTTCTAATTTTTTTCTTTATGAAAATATTCGTGGTATATTGGCAATGAGGTTTCTGTGTATTGTACAAGACTTTGGTCTCTCTCATTCCTTATTCCTGAATAACATTTTCCTTTTATAAAAATATTTTATTAATTACTTTTAGTGTTCATTTTTTAAAAAATTGAGTTCAGAATTCTCCCTTTCTTTAGTCCATCCCCCATCCACTGAGAAGGCCAGCAATTATATGATACATATGAAATCATGCAGAACACATTTCCCTATCAGCCACTGCAATATTTTTCAATGTTCTTTTCTATTTCCATCCTAACACTGAAGTCACAAAGTCAAAAAGTATACTTTGATTTAATCTGCAAGGTTTTGTTGAGTTTTCATAGAATTTCTCTACAACTTCAACTTCTGCAAAAAAGATGCTGGCACATAAGCTACAAATATTTTCATTTTTTTGCATATAGTTCTGAGTACTGCAAAAGAAGATGACCCCATGCATTGATGATTCTTTTTTTTTTCCCCAGGTTGGCATTTCAGTAGTATTGAGGTAAAAACAGAAGTACTGATAGGCATGATTAAGAATCAGACAAACATCCAAGGAACCAATCACCCAAATGAATGAGCTTATCTAAAATACCCCTTCCCAATTTGAATCATTAATAGTGCTGCTACTAAAACAATGATTCTGGATGACTTTGGATGCACTATAAAACCCACTCCAACTCTTTTCATCTGTCTCTCCAAGGAGGTAAAAGCCACTTCATTTAGTTACAGCTTTCTTCTGTCTTCTAGTTTCATTTATAACAAGAATCTCAAAATTGATAAAATTCAGTTCCTCCAATGAGCAAAGATCTACCATGTAAGAGAACAGCTAAATTAATGTTTACAAGTCATCTAAAAGTTGTGTGATTCTTACCACCCTATGCATTCTTTTCTCCCACTCTACAGCCATCACTACAGAAGAAAAAAGGAGGTTTCACCTCAAAGCCAGCAAATTGGCAATATATCAAAAGACCAAAACAGTCCACGTTGGGGAGTTGTAGAAAGACAGAGAAACTAATGCAATGTTGGTGAAGCTCTGAAACAGCACAACCATTATAGAAATCAATTGGAATCATGGAAATAAAGTAGCTAAAATGTCCATATGTTTTGACCCAGAGATTTCACTGCTGGCATATGCCTCAAGGAAGTCACTGACAAAAAGGCTCCATATATATCAAAATATGCATAGTAGCACTTTTTGTGGTAGCAAAGAATTGGAAACAAAGATGCCCACCATAGTATACTCTGAGTCAACAAAGAAAGGCCTGAAGACCCAGGGAAATGAACCTCAGAAGGCCAGTAAGAGTCTAACCCAGGAGGCAGAGACCAACACAGGAACCAAAGCAACATAGGTCAAGACCAAGCAGTGGACCAAACAAACCGTCCCAAAGCCTCCATTACGTGTACCCTTATTCCCATCCTTTCCTCTAACTGCTTCACTCTCACTAATCTTCAATTTCTCACTATCCAATGGCTACTTCCCTACTGACTAAAAACACACCCATGTTTCCCTCATCCTAAACACCGCCCACACCCCTAACTTGATCCATTTATTCTCACTAGTTCTCTACCTCCTCCCCCAAATGACTAAATTTCCTCAGAAAGCTGTCTCCTAAACCTTCTGTAGTTTGGTTTCTGACCACATCCTTCATCTGAAACTACTGTCTCTGAAGTTACAAATGACCTCTTAATTGCCAAACTTAGTGGCCTTTTCTCAATCTTGATCCTTCTTGACCCTTCTGCAGTCTTTGACACTTTGACACCTTTCTGCTGGATATTGTTACCTGTCTAGGATTTTGTTCCCCTGCTTCTGGTTCTCCTACTTGTCTGTTTACTCTCAGTCTTTTGTTGCTTCTTCCTCCAGGTCACGCCCACTAACCATGGGTGTGTTCCTAAGGCTCTATCCTGAGCTATCTTCTCTTTCCGTTCTAGACTATCTCACATGGTAACCTCATTAACTCCCATGGGTTCAATGAGCCTTAACCTGTCTCTTGACTTCTAGTTTCAAATCTCCAGCTGTCTATTTGACATCTCAAACTAGGCTCAATAGGTCTAAAATAAAACTCACTCCCCACCTCCCGCCCCCGCTTTCCAGCTTCTCTGTTACTGCTGAGGGCAGCACTACCATCTATCTTCTCAGTAACTCAGGCTTGCAACCTCCATATCATCCTCAACTCCTTTTTCAAACTGACACCACATACTCAAAACTCACAACACTGCTTGTACATACTTCCTGTCCAATCAAAAAGCCACCAGCCTGGACTACTGCAATAGCCTTCCTGTTTCAAGCTTCTCCCCACTCCAGTTGACACTGCTGCCCAAATGATTTTCCTAAAGTGCAGGTCTGACTACATTTATCTCCTACTCAAGAAATTCCAGTGGCTCCCACTGTCTAGGATCAAATACAGAATGCTCTGTTTGTCTTTTAAAGCCCTTCACAACCTGGTTCCTTTCTACATTTCTAATCTTCTTGTACTTTACTCTCCTCTGAGACCTCTACAGTGACGGTCTTCTTGCTGTTCCTTTTATGTAATCCACCATGCCTTTTCAATGGCTGTCCTCATGCCCAGAATGCTCTCCTTCCTTGTTTCTGCCTTCTAGTTTGTATTCTCTGCAACTTATCAGTACCATCACCATTGTCATCCACATCATCATCATCATCATCTACATTCATATGGCACTTTAAGGTTTGCAAAGTGATTTACAAATATTATCTCATTTGAGCCTCACAACAACCCTGGGAAGTAATATAATCATCCTCATTTTACAGATGAGGAAAATGAGGCAGACACAGGTCAAGTGACTTGCCCAGGGTCATACAGCTAGTAAGTATCTGAGGCAGGATTTGAACTCAGGTCTTTCCTGACTCCAGACCCTATCCACCACCTAGCTGCTTAAAACTGCCTAAAATGTGGTCTACACAACTGAATACAATACTCCAGATGGAATCTAATTAGGGAAGAGTATAAAACACATATCTCTGCCCTTGTTTTGAATACTACATCTTCAGTGCAGCCAAAGATTATATCAGCTTTTCACTGCCACTTCAAATTGCTGGCTTACATTAGGCTTGTAGACCCCAAAGTCTTTTTCAGATGATCTGCTATCCGGTCATGTCTCTCTCATCTTATACTTATCAAATTAATTGTTTAAACCCAACTACAAAGTTGTATGTTTATCCCTACTAAATTCCATCTTAATAGAGAAAACAGAAGATCAAAGATGTAAAGTGACTGCCTAAGTTCCTACATCAAGTTAGTGACATGGCCAACAAATGTCTCCCAACTCTTCACTATACTGTACTGCTTCTTTTATTATGTAATATTGTAAAAAATAATATTTATCTCTCCTTCCGGGTAACTCTCTGCTCCTACCCAAGCATCCAGGAAGTGTGCTCAAAATTCCTGCCATTAGTGAGTCATGGTACCTTGGGGCTGCAAGAAATTCAGGGAATCTTTCCAACAGTTCTGCTACCTGGCACAGGTAACATTTTAACCTATGAACGTGCATTAGGTCAGATTAGCTGGCTGTCACTCAGCACCCATTCCCAGAATCACAGACTTCTGAGCTGGAAGAAAGCCCAGAGGGCCATCTAGTCCAACCCATCCTATCCAGGAACCCCTTCTACCACATCTCTGACAAGTGATGATCCAGCCTCTACTTAAATGTCTCCAATGAGGGAGGAGACAACAGTCTATTCTACTTTCAGAGGGCTTCTAATCACTAGGAGGAATTTCTTCCTTTCTTTTTTTTTCTTTCTTTTTTCCTGCTTTTTGGTGAGGCAATTAGGGTTAAGCGATTTGCCCAGGGTCACACGGCTAGTAAGTTTCAGGTGTCTCAGGCAGCATTTGAACTCAGGCCCTCCTGACTCCAAGGTTGGAGTTCTATCTACTGCGCCACCTAGCCGCCCCTCTTTTTCTTCTTAACCATCTCCATTGAGGGGAACTCCACTATCTCCTGAAGCTA